AGATATTAGGTATCGTGTAATATAGAAACATAATGATATGGTATAAATATATATACGTAGGTATATTACCTTTATCGCAATAAAATATTTAAAGATAAGTCAAATTAACTACACATACATACTAAGTAGAAATTAAAATAAAATAAATATTTAAAATTAACACACTTTAATCCACATAACAAAAAGTATTGTGAAACAACTATCAAGCAATTAACAATCCAAACATGCTACAGCCAGTGTAAAAAATCTAGTATACTCATTGCATTGTACTAATCAACCGATTAAACCAAAATGACACGTCTCAATTGAAAATTGTCGAACTCGGATGTTCATTAAAAGGAAACGGGTCTGTGGTCACTGGTCACCCATATAGGTACCAAACACAGTTGTGAGACTACTAAATCCTACAGCCAATAACTCAGTCATCAGTAGATCTCGTTAGCCAACATGATAGTCATGACCACATTATTGATAAGATCATAGATATAAGGGAGTCCATTATGACCTATCACGACTCACATATATACTGTATATATTATGTCAAGTACCCGGAAACAAATATCTTTAAGTTTGTTTTATTATTTTAACAAAATAAATACCTAAAAAAAAAAATTTTTTTCATGTTTCAGGTGAATAGCATTAACTTAATTCAGATTCAATCAACTTTTTTATTATTTAATACTTTTTTGTACTAATGTTTAATATCCTGTACCTAATATTAATATAAATATAGAAATTAAATTAAAAACCATTTTAAATGAATTTTATACTATAATTTTTGGCATTTTAAATTTCGTTTTTTTTGCATTTTAAGTGCATATTTTATTGCATTTTTTTGGCAATTTTAATGCATTTTTTAAGGTTTTTTAGTGCATTAAATTCACAGCCCTAATAATATAAAATATGATTCTAAGCATCATTATACTTGAAGCGTAAATTATATATTATCGTAATATGATCGTACGGTACACGAATGCTTATTTTTTCTAATAAATTATGACAGTCAATAGGTATTTCCATAATAAGTCATTTATAAATAATACATCTGCCAGCTTTTTCTAAGAGACATAGAATCTAGACTAATTGAAAACTGGACTGTACCAAATGATGACCTAGATGACTAGTTATAGGAATATTATTAATATATGCAACTCTTTACGAAAATTTGTATTAATTTAATACTATTAAACAACTTCAAGTTCATTAATATAACTTATAAGTCGATAAATTCTGTGACAATTTATTATTTGATGATCGTTATAATATATTGTGGAGGAGTTAATTAAAGTTTTTAATACACAATAATATATACATATAACGTCCTTTACAATATTATTATATAGCGGTTATATAACGCAACTTTATACACAAATAATAATATAATATATAGATAGGTTTACATACATATGTTATGCAAATGTTACTAAAAGCCAAAAGCGATAATCTGCACGTTTGGTGGAGCGTATAAAGAGCTCATGATTTTCTTATTTTGTCTTGCATGATGCAATGTTGTAYCACCGGAGATGATTGCTTATACTGGTGATTGGGGTGTATAGATCGTAATAGATGTGAATATAGCTCGGGTACCTACCTATATATCTATGTGCGTACTGCGTAGTGTACTAGTGTGTGCAATATATTACTCCAAACTACGTTCAAATTCAAACGAATGTCTTATTCATCGTCAGTAAAATTTATAGAACATAGAATAATAATTATTAATTTTATTAAAATAATAATAATGACAATAATTATAGCCAACGGTAAAGAAGTCTGTTCGTGACTTGAGTGTAAATGCGTGTGCACGATCGAGCTTTTGCGACAAATGACTGAAATGAGTGAATATTTTACGTATTATATTATTATACTATACCTGTCAGTGATTTTATAATTTTTACAGCACGAACATCAGTCGTAATATACTCCAACACCCTATGACCTGTCGTAAAAAAATAATGCGAATATTTATATTTCATAATAGGTAGGTAGATATATAAAATACATAAGCATTAGTTTTTGGTTCATTTAAATCCATTCAAATATCCACACCATGCATCTATGTAAGTAAGAAGTAACCATCACTAACACAAAATAATAAACTTTTAATAAAATTAATTCACACAGTTGATTAGTAATTAATGACTAATCAGCAATATACTAATAAACTAAAAAGTATAAAATATGAATAAGTAGGTACTATAAATTATAATAGTGTTATTATGTTATTATTATTACTATATAAATTTAATGGCCAAGACCTTTTTATAATCGATATATATTTAATCGAATTTATGATAATCGAATTACTAAAGTACATTATGGTTTCACAGTGTGCATAAAAAAAAAATCAAGATTACCTATATTATATTTATATATTTTATTTATGAACCTATATATAATATATTATGTAATAATCATAGGCGTGTTCAGACTTTGGTGAACACATTTTTAAATCGTGAGTAGAAAAATAAAAAATTCTCAATATTTTTCTAAATGATCGGGATAAACAAACTAAAAATTAAGGGGAAACGGGAAATTTTAAGCACAATCAATTTTCGACAAAATCGATTTTGGTTTTTGATGTAACTTTAAAACTAATGAGTAATGACCATAGATACATGCAATTTTCACCGAATGTTTATCAATAATAATTATTATTTATAATCTTAAATCTTAATTAATAGTATTAATAAAAGTATATTCTATCCACCATGCAATTTTCAAAAAATTTCGACTTAAGTTGAACCTATTATATAGGCACATGCAATTTTCAATCATTATTAGTTTTTTAAAAATTAATATCGATAAAAATGTATTTGTTGGGTAGAAAAACTTGAAAATTTAATACAAGGCTTTTACAAGTTTGTCAATTTTTATCACAAAAAAAAAATGTCCACCGGAAATTCAAATTAAATTTTTATGAGCATTTGAAATTTAAATTTTTACTATATTGGATGTTCACTGGATTTCTCATTTAGCGATTTTCTTATTTTTGGTGTAACTCTATAACAAATGACCGCAGATACTTCAAATTCTCACTGAATGTTTATAAAGGCATTTTCTATATTTGATAAAATTTTCAAAATATTTTGAGTTGTTAACTGACATTTTAATTTTTCAACTTTTTTGGTTTCTTTTCTATAAATATCGATAAAAATGTATTTGTTGGGTAGAAAAGCTTGAAAATTTAATTGAAGACATTTTTTTATATGGATTCAAAGTTTGAATTTCGACAACATACGTAAAAATCACGAAAATTCGTAAATTATTTTATGCTCGAAATTCATAAAAAATTTTCCTTTTATATCTAAGATTTGAAATTTAATACGAGGCGCCTAACATGTTTTTACAATAGCAGTTGAAAAATAAAAGAAATACATAGAAACAATTTTTTTTTTATAAGCATTAAAATTTTAATTTTTACAACATATTTATATATTATATAAATCTAAGATTTGAAAATTTTTAATAATCTATAGGTAATATATCCTCGACGCAGATAAACCGTCTCCGCTCAGAATCGCTTTTCGTATACAATGATATAATATCATTGGATTCAAATTTAATTCCATCCATTACAGTAACCTACTGTACAGCAGAGCGACATCTACGACTTACCCGCTTTTTTAAAATTAATATCAGAAGATTACTGAGCCTCACTGAAAAAAATCGTGTGGAGGCCCAACTATAATATACAGTAAATTATAGATTATAGTCTATAATACGATAGGTGGCTACTTAACTTGTACAAGTACAACATTGGGTTAAACGAACAATAATTGGTTCCCGTATAAAAATGTTGTACGCGGAAAATCGGTCCCTATCATAATTTTATACACGGACAATTATTGGCCTGTCCGGTCAATATTTTATGATATAAGATCAATATTAGGTATACGAATAGGTATAATCGACAATCCCAGACAGCATTTTGTAATGATAATATTATTATAATAACTTTTTACTAATTTTATTCGTTAGGTATTATAAATTATAATGTTAAAATAATATTTTTAAACAAAAAAGATATCACAATAAGGTTTGTTTTGATGGCTTATAAATTTTTAAGTGTAACACTATACATGCATTACAATTTACAATACTAACTATTTTTAGTAAATTGTGATAAAATATTTCCCTTGATAAATAATAATCTTTTATTGCAGACTGACCGATCCACCTTCATCAATCACAGTTATCGATGATGTACATCCGTATAGTTCGTACTAGTATACTAATACTAATAATGGAAATATGTTTTAAAACCAGCCACGGAAAAATAAAATTGGGATACCAATATACAGGGTGTCCCGTGAGGATTTACCCATTGCAATATCTCCCGAAATAATGGTGATATCGAAATTCTGGTTTTGTTATAAGACTCACAGGGATAAGAACTACAATTATTTCATATTTTAATTGATTTTAATGTTTAGTAAAAAAGTTAAAAAATATATTTTTTTATTTAATTATTTCCAAAAAAATTTAAGATAGCTATTTTGAAGAGCCTTGTCCTTGTGAATCTTATTATAAAACCAGAATTTCGATATCTCCATTATTTCGTGAGATATCGCAATGGGTAAATCCTCGCGGGACATTCTGTATAATATGTTGGCATAATAATACCGTATTTATATTATATGAGAACGTTTTATGCTAAAAAAATATTTTGTATTTAACTTTTAAGCTGGGGACCAATAATTGTCCGTGTATAAAATTATGACGGGGACCAATATTGTCCGCATTCAGTGTTTTTTCGCAGTCACTGGGGACCGATTGTCCTAAATCCCAACATTGGACGTATTGTGTATTTGTGCATAAAAAAAACAAAAAGTGTCATAATTTTATTGTATTGTAGTCTCACGATCCATGCCAAATCGCCAAAGCCGTTATCGCTAGTGCTCGACTGTTATCAATAATTGTAAAACGATATCATCTTGTAAAACGATAAAGAATTCAGAATATTAAATCATAAACGCCTCGACCAGCCATATTAAATAATATTAATAATATAATCTTTTTAAATATTATTTAATCTTCACGTCATATTATTCTTACACATAAATACATAATTTAATAATTTACTCAATTATTAATCTAAACTCCAATGTTGTGATATAACTTACGTTTTATGACTGTCTAGTAGTAATAACTAGTAACTACGTACATTTTGATATGATTTTGACGAACGAAAGATTTTTCGATCGAAGTTTTAATAATTAGTCTGCCAATATTATTACAGTTCGTTTTCATTTGTCTAGACGGTAATGATCATTGTCTCCAAACAAATAAACTACCATGCTGTGTTCTCTATTATTATATTMATATATTATGGTAAATTATTTTAGATTGATTTGTGCGGGGACTTCTTTTGGTTTATCATTTAAATAACCGAGTACATCAAACACCACAATGTCGTTTACATTCACAGTGTTCACTTATATTGTGGCCATGATATCAGATGCATTTTTAATATTTTTTTCAATATTTCATGTAAGTACCTACTGTAATGTAATAGAAATATGGAATCATTAGTTGCATATAAATTATAATATTATTATGTGGTTGAAATGTTTTACAGATATAATTTTACAGTTGCTGTAAATTTACATTTCTCATATCAATCATTGTCTGTGACTGAATAAAGATATCTCTACTATTCCCCTTCTAGTAGACCTTACAATTTTTTCCAAAATGTCCTCGCTTATTGTTATTAAATTTCTCCATACTATAATAAATTAACATTGCTTAAAATTAATTACTTATTAAATACTAGTTTTGACCTGATTATATGTGATTATATTAGATATTATATTTAAAATTTATATATATATTTCATGTTATCATAAGTTACTTACCCTATAAATTGAATTAAATACAAAATAATTACCTACATACCATAACATTTTTTTTCTAGGTTATTGCATTCGATGAACTTAAAACTGATAGCAAAAATCCTATAGACCAATGTAACAGTCTAAATCCAGTGAGTATAAACATAACTAGATGTATAAAAGAATATTGATTCATAATTTAGTTTTTAAGAGGACGTAACACTTGCATATTTTGTTGTCTCTCTTCTACAAGTGCGTAACATAGTAATTATTCGCTCAGTAGATCACATGTAGTTTTGTTAGTTTTAGAAATAGAGTRAATTAACTTATGAAACTTTATGACAAGAACATTATCTTTGTTTATATGTGGGCTTTTTTTTTTCAAAAGTACAATTTTTTAGCAAGTTTTGCATATATAAAATAGCATAAATTAGAATGCTCATAACTCACATTAAAAACTGAACTATCGTAAAAACCCATATACAAGCACAGATAATGTTCATATTATCAAGTTTCATAATATATCGATTCACTCTAACTTTTAAAATAACAAAGCTACACGTGATTTGCTGAGGGTAAATTTGGTTTGTTACACACTTGTCTTGCTGATTGCTTATTTAGCATTAATACTTATGTTAATTTGGACTTTGCATATTTAAGTACCTATTGCAAGTAAAATAAATAAATGTTTTTAAATTAATGTTATTATAATGTATGAAAATCAAAAATATTTTTAAGTATTAAGAGTACCTAGTTGGTTTTCATTCTTAAGCCGCGTACACACTTGTAACATTAGCGCGTAACATCCTTTGATGCGACTCAATTTACTGTCAACTGGTGGAACGGTGTTACAGCGTTACAGCGTAACAGAAAATGTTACTGTTGTGTACGTGGATTTACACATTTTTAGCAAAATATTATTATATTGAATTTAAATGTATTATATTTATAATTAAACTATAAAAYGTATAGCATATTAATGGACTTCCAAATTCTGAACTGAATAATTCTGTTATCAAATTATAAGTTTCAGCTTTGTATTTAGTATTTACATWACCTTGGGTAGGATTTTTCTAGTTYATCATAAACAATTGTAATTTTATGTAAACATAGATTGAATTTTAAACTTGAAAATTACTAAAAGWTTTTTTGCAAATACTTTAAAAAAATAGAGAATAAGACCTGTTTGGACTTGATATATTTTAGTTAGTACTTAACTTTGCACTTTAGCTTACACTTTACACCTCAACATTAGAAGTGTAGTGGATTGAATAAAAATAAAAATAAAAAGAGTGCATGAGTTACACTCTGGGGAAGTAAAACTTCTTTCATAAGTATTGGGTCTGTTGAATCATAAGTGAGAGTAAAAAAGAGTAAAGAGAAGAGTAGAATTGAAAAAACACTAAGCAAATGACGCGTTATCACACTCGGATTTATAACATTTAACCATTCAAGCGATTTCTGCCGCAGTCATACACCGTTTCATTCTTTCGTGGCATTTCATTTTTCGTGACGATTTTTTTCTCCATCCATACCTCAAGAAAGAAGTTTTACTTCAAAAAMMATATTTTTTTACAAGGCTAATTATCACAGTATTATTTAATTTTAATTTAATAGAAGTTGACATATTTTATAACTTGAAAAAATAGGAAATAACTTTGTTTAATTTAATAGAAATYAAATATGCAAACTATATACATTTTGTTTATTTGTTGTTTTTTGCAATAATATAACATAATATTGTAATCCAAAATATTTATTTTTTAATTTTAGTTGGTGATTCCTGAGTATATACTTCACTTTTTGTTCAATCTTTTATTTTTGTTTGGAGGCCAGTGGATTTCATTTGCTATTAATATACCATTAATGGCTTATCACATTAAAAGGTATACCTAATAATATATTAAATAGTAGTAAAAGCACATTATTTTATATCTATACTGTTACTTTTTAAAAGAACTTATTTTTTAATTATAGCCTAATTTTGCCTTATTTTTTTTAACAGATATCAAAGTAGACCAGTAATGTCTGGCTTTGGTCTTTATGATCCTACCAGCATTATGAATGCTGACAAATTGCATAAATATCAACGCGAGGGTTGGATAAAACTATCATTTTATCTGTTTTCATTTTTCTATTACTTATATGGGTAAATGACATAGATAATAAATAAATGGATGGGCCATCCCTATACCTTATACACGTAGCGTTCTGTGATCGAAGAGAACTTATGTTACCACAGTAGTTAGATAGTKGTTGCCGGGTAGCAACATTTTAATGCATGAYGTCACGGCGCTAGAAATTTTAAAATATGTCAGCCCATTAATTACCATTCGACAATCAACAATCAGATAGGGCATAGAATTATAGATAATTAATAATTTTTAATTATGACAATAATATTGATATAAGAAAATAATAATTGTTCGGTATAAATACAAATCAATATAAAATGAGTGATCTGAAAAAACTGCAGATGTCAAAAACTTATAATAATATAATGTATAATAATATCACAGAATAGAATCCATTCAATAGATAAATAAATATGATATAACTAATATTAATAATGATAAATAATGATATTTTCAATTTTGTTATTGTCAATCATAGACTTAGGTTAAGTCTAGSATAAGGTCTATGTTGCCATTTTGTCAATAAATAATAATAAAGTACATGACAAATAAGGATTTATTTAATTTATTTGTCATGATATAGTATAAACATAGGTTAAATAATAGGTTAATGAATAAGTTTAGTTACATTAAAATTAAAATTAAAAATCACATAAAATATAAAAACATATTAAAGTTATTGGTTTTGAAATAAAACAAGTTTTGTGTATTAGACCTTATTGTTATGGTATCATTTTTATTTTTTAATTCGTGATACATTCGTATATCTAAATATTTGAAGATAATTAAATTCGTCAATTKGTCSYYGTGAGTATCTAAAATGGATATGTTTTCGCTGCAATCGTTTTTATTAAAATATATGTTTAATTGATGYAAATTAGTACATCATTTTTAGTTGTAATTCACAATATTATAACTTAAGAGTTAAAACTTTAATTATTTGATTTCTCTATTCAAGACAAGATACGAATATTGTAATATAATGATTTATTATTATTTAATATTTATGGTGATCTTAGACCATATACACTGGATAGAGCTATAGCGTATATCTCGCGTA